ATGGTTGCTGCCTCGATGGCTGCTGAATGGTTGCTGCCTCGATGGCTGCTGAATGGTTGATGCCTCGATGGCTGCTGAATGGTTGGGGTTGCCTGTTCGTTCCCCCAGCCTCGCCTCTCACATACCTGTCTCCGAACATCATGGACTCCTGCAGACACTGGATGCAGGCCTCGTGAAACCACTGCTGACACCGGAAGCACTGCAGCATCTTCAGGTACCACCTGGGCAGAGCACATAGCCGGGGTCAGATACTATGGAGTTCCTGCTGCTGGGCCCGTAAGGTTGTGGGTTCGAAGCACCAGCCTGTCACATGTCCTTTTTAACTATCTGACTCACACCCTTTTTAATATTTGACCGCTGTGTCATAACAAATGTAGATTACTCCTAAAATTCCATATTCAGCCATCACATACTTCCAAACACCTCACCATGTTGGGGTTTAAGTGCACTAATTGGCCTGCAGAGCCCACAGCCATGTGAATCACATGACCACTGAAGCATTAGGGTCTCAGGGCAAATTCACTGACTGACACTCAAGTCCCGCCTATCAACCTGCCAATCCCACTGGCGCTGAAGGATGTGGGTATGAGGGCATACTATGAACACGGCCCTGACCACTGAGAAACTCCTATACTGTCTGTAGCTCCTCGACATGGTTCTCGCCTTTGGTGAGCGTGCGCATGGAGTCACTGCAGCATGTTGGTGCTGCAGAGGCTTTATGCTATTAAAGACTCGCATACCGGAACAGAGGGACAGCAGTGGGCAGAAACAGTTACAACTGATAGCGGATTTACTGCAACTAAGAGCCGTGCGTCCATGAATTTCTTACACTGTGAACATTAATTTGTTGTTTATTTTTCTTAGTTAACTGAAACATTCCTTTTTTGCAAATAAAAAGGGCAATTTAGTAAATCACATGCAGAATGAAGAGCAGCTTTTTAAAATACAAATTTAAGCAAGATATCTTAAAACATCTACAGATCAATACTCAACACTGATGATCCCAGGTAGGGTTGCAAAATTTTGGGAATTTTCTGTTAATTCTCAAATATTCCTGGTACTTCCCACTTGGAATATTTCCAAAATTCCCCAGCTTAACTTCCCATGGAATGGGAATTTCCCATGGAAATTTACTGCCCCTTTGTAACCCTAGTCCCAGGTAAGCCTGGAAATTACTCTGCTAGAATATCTAGTAGTATAAATATGCAACATATGTGTGTCACTACAGATAATGGGGGCAGCGTGTGGCTCAGTGGGCTAAGCCTCTGTGCCTGTGATCAGAAGGTCGCCGGTTCGGCCTTGACGTGTCGGCGGGTCCTTGAGCGAGGCCCTTAACCGACGGCTCCCAAGCTGCCACAACAGGTGGCTGCCCTAACCCTAACCCCACGGAGGGCAAGTTGGGGGAGGTGTGAAGCGAATTTCCCCCCAGGGATCAATAACGTATCACTAAAGGCTGCATTTTCCTTAGTAGACAGCAGCACATTATTCAACATGCAGAGAGCAAATAAGATAAATCAATTCATAGGTTGATGAACAAACGTACATTTAGATGTTCATGTTGATGTTGATGTTCAACACCAGCACGTCTATTTGCTAATTTTCTGATAAACGAAAACAGTGAAAAGAAAATGCATTTATTAGTGTTGCCGTTTTTGATTTTTTTTTCTTTCCAATTCAATGGAGTGTCTCCAAGTAGAAACATGACAATATATAGCATAAGGGACACAGTGAAAGCACCAGAAATAAGAAAGACGGACAGTGGTGGGGAAGTAAGTGGCAGGTCTGTAGGTGCACAGCAGGAGGCCAGGAGTGGACAGGTGTCCAGTAGAAAGAACACTTACTCCCCAGGTCCCCCACAGTAGCAGTAACACTGCTGGTGATTGGTCCTGTGCAGCGAGTCCCACTCCAGCTCGCCTGGGTTATAGGTCAACACCTGCTTCATCGCCTGGAGAGCTTTGGCTATGGGACCCTTTTTCAGAGCGCCCCCTTTCTGCAGGGTAGGGAAAAAAACATTCAACTTCATGATGACATCCCTTCCAGAAGTCACCCTAATGAATGGCTATGGATAATTCCTGTATTGAATTCACCTTATGCAGCCAGAATCTGCGGCAGAAGTGTCTCCTGTGCAGAGCAGGATGTTTTTATGCAGAAGTGCCGAGCATGAACACTCACCCGCACGGCCAAGGCAAAGATGCATTTCCTGCAGAACCAGGGTGACGAATCCAGTGGGCTCTCTACCCGCGGCAGATGGCACTGCTGGTGGTATCCTGGCAGGAGCGGAGACGGTGAACGGTGGCCACTCAGACCCACTTCCCCAGTCTAGCTGCCACTTCAGCCTTATAATAATTAATTACACCCACACATGTCACCCAGGCTCATTTTTCTTTATTTATTCTCCAGTCTGCTGGGAGACTGAGCAACACGAATGTTATTTTATTCTTCTGTATGTCAAAAAGGTACCAACTTCTGTATTGCAAATCCAGGGATACCTTTCTTAACTGGCCAGGTCTGCGGATTTCTCATTCCCGTGTTAAAAGTCTCCCAAGCTAAACTTGCAGACGATCCGCATTTAACAAACCCAGGGCATTCACCTGTCAAACTGGGCTCCAGCTTTAAGACACATGCATTCTACATGGAACAGACTCTCCGTTACTGCGGCGTGGCATTTTCCGTGGACAGTGCTCCGTGAAATGGAGATGCACGATCACGAAAACGCACTTCAGGTATTCTGTTTTTTAATAAGGTCACGGGTGCCACTGAGTCGCCCCCACAGGTCCGTAAGGAGCCGGAACTTGTGCCACCGGGCGTTTTGCCGAATCCTACTGAACACAAACCTGTAGCCAAAATCGAGAAATCAACCTACCTATGCCACACTTGCCGCAGATGAGGATCTTGTTGTCGGACATCAGCACCATACCAGAACACACATAACACTTGGGTTCCTCCCCCGGAACACCAGCTGAGCAACGGGCACAAATGGAGAAAGTTCATGTTAGATTTACACAAAGATCACAAGACGCCTCAAGCCCAACTCTTGAACATCCTGCTATTGTGCAATTCTGATGTAGCCTCCACACTCTCCTGAGAGTCAAGGCCAGTTCAAATACCCCCCACGTCTAACCATGACAAGAGCACATTAAAGCATTTGGTTCGGTTGACATGATTACTGGTTAGGCACCCAGTGATCCAAACTATTAAACTTCCATCATTCTAGGGCTATTTCATCAATAACACCACAAATCAAAGAGCGTGGATGAATGAAGCAAGTCCTGTAGGTAAGAGTCCTCTTTGCCCCAGTAATCTTCCACACATTATTTGTCTCCAGGCAAAAATCAAAACAAACATTTTTTCTTCATTTTGACCTTTTCTAAATTCATTTTTAAATTCCACCCTGTAAAGAAGGGAAGAAAATTGCATGATTTCTCCAGCTTGATGATATTCATAAATAAAAAAAACAGACAGTTCCTGCAAAGCAATAATCTCAAACATCAATTTTTAATTTAGGTGTCCAGGCTGCCGTGAACCAGCTCCCCTAATTGTGTGCAGAATCAGGCCGGTCTTTCATGCCACCTATAAACCATGTCTAATTTTCACGTGAAGGAACAAACTACGCTGCTGACAGCTATAACAATCCATATACCTTTCTAATAACACACAGAGGCACACTTTTAGTGCTCCTGCCAGCTGATGCATACATACAATCAGGCATTTGGGGGGTTTATTCCTGGCTAGTTCCCAACCATCCATTTTTGGTAACTGCTTATTTAAACAGCCTTAAAAAAAAGTCTGCGTGCTTTTCTCAGGAAACACGCTCACACTGGGACACACAGACACACTATGGGAAATGCATTCACCAGTTTACCAGAAGTGGATTGTGTAAGGAGAGCCAGCCATGGCTCGAGAGCAGAAATGCCATACTCAGCAAGCACACTGCTAGAACCAGATCCAAGACGAAAAACAATAAGGACTCAGCACCACTAATGTCTGAAACTCCACACTGCAGAGTGGCGCAGACTGTGAATATGACTTAGCTTATTCGTCTTCATCATTTTGCCCTCTCTCAAGAATAACAAAAATAATCCTCGTTACAAAAAATGTAAGTGTGTTTTACAAACCCTGTCAAATTACACATATCCAGACAATCAAGCAAATAAAACTCACTTTTAGAATGTACAAACATACCCAAAGGTTTTATATGTTTATCGTTAAGGGGAGGGGATTTGTCTTCAATGAGTGAACTAGACTAAGCCAGTCATAGGGGGTGGGAGGGTGATCTGGTGAGGGTGTATCTGGACTAATGTTTCTTATATGTTAATATTATACGATTCATTTAGTTCTGAGAATTTTCCATGGACGTCCCAAGGAATCGCATCCGCCCCCTGAGAAGTTATTATTTATTATTATTATTATTATTATTATTTTATTGTTGGGGATTTTATTGTGAGGTTACCTGCATAACTTAACTTAATTCAAGATGGGCCACCACAAAAAATACACGATAAATATTAACCACAGAGTTGTGCGACTCTATCCATCCTACAGCTGCCTATTCCTGTCAGGGTCACAGGGGTAGGAAGGCCACAAGTTAGCGGTACACTGTGGACATGAGGCCGGTTCATAACAATGCACAAACACGCTCAGGCTCACGCAACAGCCTCCGGAGTGCCCTGAGGAAACGTGCACCTGACAGGGAGGTCACACAAAAGCCACTCGCATACAGCAGGCAGGATCCACACTGCCAAACCTGGCAGGTTGAGGTGACAGTGCTACACATGAGCCACTGTGGCACCCTTGTTGTGTGAATCCTGGGAGAGCAATTACATGACACATCACAGTCAAAGTGAGGACAAGATAATCTGGCAACCATTTGTTCCAAAAACCTGCACAAATAAAGCTGAACTCTTCAAGAACAACGTACTGCATATTTCACAGGTGACATGTTTGTTGACACAGTGCTCAATATCTTACTGCAAGCGTCATTAAAACTTAATTTATTTAAAATACCTTTAAGCTATTCTGATGTCACACAAAAGAGGAAGGACAGCCCTGTGAAAACACTACCAATAATATCTGAACAGGTGGACTGCAACTAGGGCTAAAATTGAATTATATAGCTTCAAAAGAGAAACTAAAATAATAAATCTGGGAAGGAAAAATTCACAGAGTGAAGGAAAGTAATCAATGAGAGAGAGAGAAAGATCTCACCACAATGTCACACCTACTCACCATGCTGAATGTCCTTCCACAGAACCCAGAATTTGGAGTTGTCTTCAAAGGTGACAAAGCAGCTCTGTTTGGAAGCACTTACCTATGGTGATGAAGAAAGTAAGCATGATATGATACAACATACTCTGATAGCCAATATTACCATCCAGATTAACAGTGCCACACACCTTAAAGCACTGGGCCACAGAACATTTTCATCGGGTCATAGTTTGTGTAGTTAAAATGAATTTTATCTGAAAAATTTTGTAATATCAGACTTTTGTGGTTGCGAATGCTGCGGAATGTCATCCTGGAATTTTTTATTTTTCTTACTTTACTACCAGCTACATATTTTGGTATAATAAACAATGGATAAACACAAACATAATACAATAAATACAAACAAAAAACTTGGAGTCATGACTGAGGAATAATGTGGGTTCTGAAGCTAAACCAGTTGCCTTAAAGCTGAAGCTGAACCACTGCCTTAAAGAAACTACAACAATAAAACAGAACACGATAATACAGCAGAACCATTCCCATTGTTCCCTCTCATGCAGAGATTTGCTAGCTGCAATGCCAATAATATACTGAAGGAGGCAGTATGGAGGTTTGTCTTCCATGTACTGGAAGGTCATTATGAGTCAAAATTGTTTAAAAACATGCCCAAGAAAGCACAAGGTTAACATATCCAACACTAATAAGCCAGCTCTTAAGCATCTGGAATAGGATGCTCAAAAATGTTGCAAAGTGCACTTGTAATATAAAACAAAACCAAGGACTCTAGCCAATTCTCCTTTGAACAAGTGTTTAACTTACAGTGAAAAACGAAACATTTGTTTATAACACTTTTCTGCCCTCAATTCAGAGTTAGTTAATAGTATTTGCGTGATTTACGATCTCAGGTCTTTTCCAGCTGTTACAAACAAACAATAAATCAGAAATAGCAAACTAACTTCTTAAGTTTTTCAGTAACAAAATACTAAATTGGGGATAGTTTTCCAGCACAACATCAAACGTTGACTTGAACACATTGAGTCCGTAGATGGCTCACTCTCACGATCTTGCCCAGGTAGTACAAGCCGTCGGACCATCGGCACAGGACGTACTGCCCCTCAGTCAGGCTTTTCTCCAGTTCCATGTAGTTCCTGGCCCTGTTCTGGGGTAACTGCTTAGGCTCCAGCTGCTCGTGTCCTGCAGAGCAGTACATATCCCTGTAGGACTCCAACATACTGATGTCCATTCACACCTTCACTTCCTGATGCAGCAAAAAAAAAGAAGGATTTAGTATGAAGAAGCTTAACCATCGAGCCCTATCAAGTCTCCTGCAACACCAAGGTATGAAATGTACATACCAGAAAGTAGTTTGTAGGAAACCAGAAACCAAAACAGATAGAGATAGCATTCTTTTAAATCCACCTATAACTTACTTTTCAAAGAGCAGCACCATAGCATGTCACAAATAAATAAATAAATAAATAAATAAATAAATAAATAAGAAGAAGAAGAAATGGTAACACTTTGACAAACAAAAAATTCAATATTATATTACTTATACATTAAGTATAAATTAAGTGTTAGTTATAAACTGATCACATGTTTGTTCATCGTTAATGAATTGTGACGCGTCATTTATCCCAAGCAGTTACAATATTTGTTACTATATCTGTTAATTCTGTAAATCTGAGTGAACTACTGAAGGAAAAGGTAAAGAATAACACAAGTTAAATATTAATGTCATATTTGTTCATCATGAATCGAGATGCATCTTTCATCTCAAGCAGTGACTATATTTGTTCATGATTTGTATATAGTAACTGAATTACTACTATTTGTGTCCGCTAAAGTAGTACTACCAAAAAAACCTTGTATTTGTGTGATTATTCAACAGGCTATTTCTGAACAATTAGATATTACTTAGCAGGAATCGAATGATTAAGAGAAACTGTTAAAGTGTTTATTAAAAAAACATTTTGTCTAATTTAAGAGAAACAGTAATAAACCGCAGGAGCCAAGCTCTCACCTATTGTATGCAAAACGAGACAGATGTCGCGTTAAAGGCAGGATGTGTAAAACATTTCTATTCTTTCATTTAAAAAAAAAAAAAGAAACTGATTCACCAGTTGAATCATGTCTTCACAAACTCTGACCACAATTTAACTGCAGGCAGGAGCCAGCTTTGCAAAAGTAACGATAAATTACTCAAATGGAAAGAAAGCCTAACCGCTGGGGCTACAGGGGATAGAATGCACACTTTAAAAAAGACATCTTTCATACTCCAAACCATATTATTAATGTTTATTACCTACAACTTGACAGCTACAACTCATACGTTCAAATATTATAAAAGATCCACGCATTTCAAGAGCTCCGCCCGAATTATCCGTACCGTCTCTGTCAGCCTCTTTACCAGAAGGTTTCGCTCAGACCCGGCACAAGGAAAACAGAATTACTTGTAAACCTCACTTTAACTTAAAATGATTATACACTTATACTGTACTTGCATGCAAGCACGTCGTGAAGGGCGCGTTTCTGAAGCTGCGATACAGCATTAGGCAACTGCAAACTGAATCAAAGTGAACATAAAACCATGGCATTTTAACATTATAATTATCATGATTAGTTAAGATTACAAGCCAGGTTTTCATGGAAAGATATGCATGATGATATTAGCTGCACTAACCCTGTTTGTCTTCACTAGAAGCGCTGGCACCGGAGAACAGGGCAGCCAGATAACCGGAGGACTAACAAAGTTTTCTTGTCACAAAGTTTAAAAAAAAATTGCCTAATAAGGGGGCTGAGAGCACACCAACACCACCGGAGCTGCGGGCATTTCCAACGCGAAAGTACGAGTCTGGCAAACCGTGATTTACTGCATCAATGCCGCTATCAATGGGGGGAAAGGCGTGAATCAGAGAGCCAGCCCGCATTTCAATGATCCGGCAGCCCGCTAACTAGTAGCCAGCTGCGGGCGGTGCGCGGTTCACCTAAGCTAAGCGGTCCGCTAGCACGCCGGCAAACTGCTAGCCGACTACTCCCCGAGCAGAGCTAAACTCGGCGCAAACATGCGAAAGACCAGCTCGCTGATAACCGAGCGTTTTGCTAAAACATCCAGTCCATCAGCCGCATGCGACAGGAGCGAAAGGCTCCACGGAGTTACTCGCCGAGAGGAGTCACCCTCCGGAGCGGGACGGCTGGCTTTAACACGCCGGGTTTTGTCACTCAGCTTACCGATGCGATTAGCCTCTGATGCGGAGGAAAAGAGACGCGAAGATCGCCTTTAATCTTGTTGCATAATGTCCCATTAATTGTACTCGTAGCTAGCTATCTAGTGGTGTAGAGGCAAAGTTTCAGACTGTGCAAGTCGCCATTTTTTTACTTTTTCCCGCGAATCATTTACGTTTTGCTTATGTAATTAACATAGCCCCATCATCACCATCATCATCATCATCACCATCATCATCCAGGAAGTCAGAACTTTCCCTGAACTAACTGTACAATCACACACCAGTGGAGATTGCAACTAAAAAAATTATAACTCATATATATCTAAAATTATGTCTGATTACAGGTGGTTAGCTGTGATTGATACTTCCTGCCGTTTTGCTGAGAAAGATTTTTTATAACGAAGACTAATACATTAACACCACCAAGGGAACTGTAATTCATATTCAAAATTGAAAATGAACTGCAGTTATTGATGACAATGTATTTTGTGTACGTTTCGTAACATAGTTTCGGCTATTTGTAATGGTGACAATCACATCCCCGGTGTTTTATGCTTAATTTAATTTTTGTACTTGTTCATACTTATATGTGACTCATGCATGTCACTTATATGTATGTATGTGTGTGAATAACTTGTTTCGTTTTACCACAATGAGATTCCTGGTGCATCATAAACAAATTCTACGTGGATTCAGCTTCAGTAGTTTTACTGTCTATGAGCAGTGAACCCACAATTCAGCGTTTCCAAAGCAGACATAAATTTGCTAAAGATCGAAGTACCGTTATGTGCAATTAATTTCAATGTCAGGTTTTGTGCAGTTATAATGTAAGCAATTTCCTTCGGGATTAATAAAGTTTTCTGATTCTGATTTCTTAGAAGGACGTTTAGAATCGCTCTCCTCTAAAAAGACATGCAAACTACAGTATATACAGGCTCATTTATATTTAAAAACTGTAAAATTAAAACTTAAATACAACTGTGGAAATTAGTTCAAAATTGCTGTTTGGTCACTGTTATTTTGGAGATAAACCCCATAATTGGATAAGAACAGTTATTCTATTTTATCAGTATCTGCATTGAAAGTAATTTCGTAAGAGTTTTTAAGAGCAATCCAAATGACAAAAACAGCAAATATTTTCTTTTCCTTTTCCTTTACAGAATTTTCCTCAGCTGCAATATGTTTTATTCTTAGTAAAAGAAAAAAAAACAACCTTGTGATACAAAGTTATAATTATCTGGAAATATTACAAGATGTCAATATTGTAATGCATCGAAGAAGCTTTCATGTAATTTTTAGTATAAGATAAAACTCCTTTCGTGTAGCACCACGGCTCACATTTCTCTATTTCTTCCCTGTCTACCCACCAGTTTAAATATGGGGTGTTTAGGTGGCCTGATTGTGGCCCCAGTATAAGCCTGTAATGTAAGTCTAAGTGCAATGACAGTACTAGTCTGAGTTCCTTCTTACCAGCTGTTGTCGTGTCCAGGATGTGATGTGTATCCTATATGGCACGAGATTACCACAAGGCTGGATGAACATGGACTGCTATATAAACCTTCTTTGCCCTTGTTGCACACATCTAAACATGTGTGCAATATTTCCATGAATCCATATCCTAAATAAAACCGTAACATACAGGTTTTTTCCTTTGTCTTATATTTATAGATTATAGATGTATGCGGTATGGTTATATGTTATACATGCATGCAGTGTGATTTTCTTCGTTTGGGGAGACCAGCAGGAGCAAAAACTGCCATGTCTCTCATTATTTTAATAGCTTTTTGAATGGAACCCTTTTCAGGGTATGTGGTGATCTGAGGAACAGGTCACCAAGACCTCAGACAGCTTAGACAGATATGGCCTCTTTGACATCCCTGCATACCCAAATCTGGCTGTGATGTCATTTGTTTCAGCTGAACCCTTTGTTAATTAACACTATTCCTACTGAGTTTTTACAGCACAGCTTATAACTGACCGCCCAGCTGAGGTCTAATTAATGTAAGAGATCTTTAACGGGTATGCTTTGCCTTTTGAAACAATCATACTGGAATAAATTTTAGATTTAAATGAATTTCGACTAAATAATCATTTTGGCTTAGTTACCTATTGGATGACTTTCACTAATGGTGAAGTAGCAAGAAATTGACAAAATAATGAACAATGACCCTGTGACCCTACCGATCATTGAAGGGGCGAAAATATGTTCAAGAACTTAATTTTGTCATCAAATCTTGAAAGAAATTTGGTTTATCAGGGCTAAATAATCAAGTACCTGACTAATGCATTTGGTTTAATTTAATGCATACAGTCTGCAGTGTGCAATTAATTCAGTTAACAGCTCAGTCAAAGCAAAAAGGTTAATGTGTTGGGATGTCAGGTGGAACAAAATCTAGCACGCCTTTTAATCACCTGGGGAGTGAGTTTAAGACTGAGCCCTCAATATGAAGTCTGAGCAGGATGCCGTCTCCTCCTGGCTTTTACACCCCAGCTACTACCATAATTCGGGCTCAGTGACTGAATTGTTTTCCATTTTTTTTTAGATAAGCCCTAGCATAGACGTACTTTATCCAGCCTTGCCCGAGTCTCTTTGCTGAAGCTTCTGCTATCTCCAAGCCCCTATCTGAGCTCCATATTGCTGTAGTACTTGGGGGGGAGATGCCCTTTTTGGTTGACAGGTGCACCACCAAAAATGAGCACAGTAAAGAAAATGACTATTTCACCGTGAGAAAAATTACAAATGAAAAAACTCCAATAACAGATAAAACAAATAGTCAGAGTACCTCTCATCAACCATAGCGACGTTTCTTACTAAGATCAAATAAGGCCACTTATAAGATCCATTGTAACTATTGGGTCAGAGGTCATAATTAGTCAAGTGTAAATTGCATCCATGGAGACTGGACACAGAGAATAATGGAGGTAGTGTCTCTCTCCTAAGGATTAAATACTGCAAAACAGATGGGGTCAAGGCATAATTAGCCTGGTAGGATGTTTTAAGTGTGGTGCTAAGGTCAGTTGTTGTAGATTTTGCCCTTTGCATCGCCAGCTTTCAACCTCAAACGCTGCCTGTGTCTTTATGTACATCTGGTCTTGCTGTTCTTAGATCAGACAATATGACTTCTCAGCTGAGGTGGTGATCTCCTTTCAAAGGACCATATGGTAGCTTTGTTCTTACAGTGATTAGCATGGAAAAAGAGCAGATACCATGAAATACATTTGAAAGATGTATGGAAGGATAGATGGATGTAATACTCAGTATGATTGTAGATGTGTTTAAAAACAAAGACAAATGGGATTGATTTCCTGGTGTCTTAGCAGGTAGTACTGTGTCTCATACTGTCTCATAGCTCCAGCTTGGGTGTTTTAATCCTGCCCTGATTCTGTAATTGCATATTCACTTTGGTTTTCTTTTGGCTTCCGGTTTGCTACTGCAGTCAACAAGCAGGTAACCCAGTCGTGCTATTATCTCAGAATCACTGCCAGTGTGACATTGTGTGCGAATGTGTGTCCTGTAATGGGCAGGCATCCTATCCAGCATGTGTCCTGCACTTCCTGGGATAGTCTACAAGGATAAAGTAACTCATTGGCCTCATATAACTAAAATTCTATTCTTTTTTTAAGGTAGAGCTCAAGCATGCTGTAAGAAACTGCACTTAGACCTGATAATGTTTTATATTGACTGATGCATATAGGGTGATTATAACTGAACTGGGCATCTGTTATGAGCTCAGCCAGTCCATGACTTTTGTAAATAAAAATAAGGCACAGCATCCAGGATTACTGGATTTCATGAATACTACAGATATTTGTATGATTAGACCATTTGTGGCTGGCTGCTAAAACAATTGAGGCGCTAAGAAGATAATACATTTTACAATATTACAATTTATTTATAAGAAGAGAGAAAATGTGTTTTTAAATGAAAATTGTAATGTAATGAGTTCTTACAAACTACCTCCTATACCTCCGGGAACCAGCCACCTCTGGATTGCACATTGTGTGGTATGGTTCGTTTTCCATGTGACAATGTACAGTAACTCTTGCTTTAAAGTACACCCCTGAAATTAATTTCCTGTGACTGGACAATATGGTTATTTCCAACCCCCTGAAGTGGATGCCAGCTCCCTTTGATATTTAATCTCAGTGCAAGTTCAAACATCCCTTGGAAAGTCCATGACTAATTTCAGCCCCTTGTGTTAGGAGCAGGTCCGTATCTACAAATTCTGGTCCCCCTGACAAAATGTTACCGTGCCCTCCCCCTCACCGATTTTTATGTATAATTTTACACATTCAGGGGCCCCTGTCAAGATCCTGGGCCCCCTGAATCTATCAGGGTGTCCATGCCCCTCCAACACCCCTGGTTACAATGCACTGCTGAGGAAACCCCCTTACCTGTGACATTTTATTTTATGGGACCTAGTACCTGATGACAGACGTACCACCTGCCATTCCCTGTAGCATTATTTCCCCTATTAGGTCTGGCATGATGCAGGGATTTTCTATTAATCTTCTGCTCCCTTTTCAGTACCTGGAGCTTTTTATCTATGCAAGCCAGCAGAATATTTACATCTCAGGTTACCCAGAAAGATGCAGCACATGAATGGCATTACAATTATTAACATAAAGGACGGCTTCCTGCTCCGCCGGTGAAGATGGCAGCTTATGGCAGTGCGCTTAGAGGAACCTCACCCCTATCAGCAGGTGCTGAAGTACTCTGAGCCTATCCCATCCTCAGACACACCGATTAGCTAACACCTTCACCGGCTGCTGTGTTGAGCTGCTGGAGATTAACAGCAAAGCGAGACTGTATCAGGGAAGAGCATGCAACCATCTCAAGGTAACTGCTGTTCCGGGGTGGCTGGTTTCCACAGCCATGGCAGAAAGTAGGAAGATAGGGGGAGGAAGGACAGGTAACCCTGACAGTATTTTGCCAGTTTTTTGGTATTACATGACCCTACTCCTGAGACCTATATCACATTTATTAAGACACCCACCACTCTATAAAATCCTCAATGGCTTGTGCTGCCATCATGGAGAAATCATGATATAACATTTCATTATGAAGTGGCGGTAACTCTTCCACAGGCTGAAAGGACCATACCTAGAGGGACAGTGGCCATAAAAACTTAACTAATCTCTAAAAGGACAATGCAGATTTTGATTCATTAACCAATTAACCTATCAGGAGGCTGTGGTACAGTTGCCTTCGGCTGGCTTTGTGGCCGCAAGGCGCTGCTTTAGTCTTCTGGTGACAGGCATTATCAGGGGTGGGCCCTGGAGCCTGGACATTTCCAGCAGCTGAAGATACAGAGGTCTTTGTTTTTACTTTAATGGAGGTCAATTGCTTATCTGATCACTGGACTAAGTTCACCCCAATCCCCAAGGGAAATCTACAACAACTGAGGGCTTTGATCAATTAACAGCATTTTTTGTTTCTGAAAAAAATCCAATAGATGAATTAGTCTTTCTAAATAATTTTTATATACGCTAATGTTTCCATTTAAAAAGGAACTAATAGAGACTATGGTCCTTTCTGAATTTAAATGCCATTAAATACAATAAGACTTTTTGGTTTGGTATTTTACATTTATTCTATAAAAATAATGATCATATTAGAAATTGGTCAAATACCTGAAAATAAAGCAATTTTTTAAAGAATATAATTAAATATCCAATATTTACTTATGAAACTGAACCAAAACATAGATAAAAATGCGTGAAAAAATATTACTCTACAAACACATGTAAATTATTTGAATGTGTCAGACAGCTTTCCAGAGATATTTCGAGGAGCATGATGGGCAGGGAATGACTTTAATGAGGCCGATAATCAGAAGATGCCGGAAGAACACCACCATAGCTTTGAAGAAGCGTCTCAGCAACCGCCTGAGTGAACTCAGGAAGTGGTGTCCACAACGCACTTGATGAACAGTGTGTCGTCCTTGCAGTACCCATGCCTGGGTGAACTCAGGAAGTGGTGTCCACAACGCACTTGATGAACAGTGTGTCGTCCTTGCAGTACCCATGCCTGGGTGAACTCAGGAAGTGGTGTCCACAACGCACTTGATGAACAGTGTGTCGTCCTTGCAGTACCCATGCCTGGGTGAACGCAGCTTGCCCAGGGGGCAGAAGGAGGGGCAGCCGCTGGCCAGGTTCATTTCTGTGACAGGCCTCTGAAAGGAGCTGGAAGACAGGTCTGGCCTGAAGGCGTCGATCATGTGCTCCTTATGGTTCTGATCCAGCAGGAAAAAGGTCACCTGAAAGACACATCGATCTGATATGGTTACCTTTGGATAAGTAGAAGATGGCCTGCTGACGGCCTGAGGGATAAGCAAGATCAAACAGGATTTAGAAAATATGTTGCCCAGGTTTCCACCTCATTTTCTGCAGGGCTGTTTACACAGGTCTTTATGGCCCGATGAGTTTTCTTAATTACTTAATTAGCATGAAGAGGAGGATTTCAAATACCATAAGCTATTCTAAGTGCCTACAGATATATTAAAGAAATACTGTATTGGAAATCACTGATTTTGGAGAAAGGCATACATAGTAAATTGTACAGATTAACAGTTGGGAATGTGAATAAATGCCGGCATGCACAGAGCCTTCTGGGAACTTCTGGAATATGTAAAGCAGATAACAGATTACCTCAAAGCTTTGCTGAGACTTAGACTTGGCAGAAATTAAGAAACTCTGTAGCACAAAGTGCCAAGTATAGAGTACAGAAAGAAAAAAGAAACACGGCCACAGGGGGTGAGTTTGATGACCATAGCGTATAAATGTCAGTTCATGCAATATAGATGACATTTTATATCAGGAGGGTTTTGTTGGAAAGGCTGCACAAAAGGCACATGCATGCTCACAAAACCAGCTGTGCACCGTCTGGTGGGGAGAGAACGATATCTGCAGAAAGAATCACTGCCCTTATCTAATTACAAATTCAGCAAATCACTGGGTTTGGCAGGAAAGGATGTTCTATCCTATCTACGGTTCTGTATGCTTCTCGAGTTCAAATGCATTTTTGTTATTTACAGTACTTTTGCAGGCAGGGACAATGGAAGACAATTTAAGACAATCCACCCCTCCCCCTTCCAGAAAAAAAATCCTTATAACAAAAAATGGCCCTTCAGCAGAAAGACTAACTCTAGCTCTCCAACTCAAAGGCCAGGTTCTGAAAATACTGTTTGCAAAAAGAAGCTTCGGTGTTTTCCTTGCGTTCAGCTAGGGTGTGGTAAAGGGCATACGTTTGGTTTCAACATCGTTAGAAACCAAATCATCCCCGAACCCCCCACCCCAGTAAACCGCAATATTGGTAGGGACATATCCATACCATTCATACCCAAATCTATACCCTTGCGTGTGGGAAATATCTGCAGAACTCTGAAAGTTGAGCTTATTTAGCACATTACACTGCTTGAAAAGATCCCAAACAAGCACAATAATTTCAGAAAAAAAAATCTTCGTCGGTGTCTGGCCATATCTATCCTCTGAAAGCGGAGCACCTTACCTTATGCTTGAATGGCCAGGAGAGCAAGGCATCATACTCTCCTTTCATGACGACAAAGAACAGGGAGATGTGGGTCCCTTTACCAACCCCGTCTCCGTTCAGGTAAAGGCGCATGCACACCCGGAATCCATAGCGTGATGTGTAGAATGCTGAGGGGAACGGCAGAAATCAGCATATTGTCACAGCACGACAGAGGAGCGGTCACAAGTGTTAGTGTGATGTAAGAACGGAGAGAAATCCTTTACTTAGGAAACCAAAGAAACTTTTGACAGCCATGTAGAATAAGCAGCTCCATTCAAACCACATGGCATTTGTGAGCTTGCCTAGCTTATAATATGCTGCAATGTTGCTGGTGGTGTCTTTGCTGAAATTTATTTTAAACAATTACCATGGGCTTATCATCCTGAGGCTTATATAAAATAATACAGTGCATCAAAGCTGTGGTAATCTAATGCCGATGAGAATGACAGCTCACATATAATTTATTAACTGGCTGTTTCTGTAAAAACGGAGAGACCTGTCAAAAACAATATTAAAATACAGTGGAACCTCCGTTCTCGACCGTCTCACATCTCGAACAATTCGGTTGTCAACCATATTGTTCTGTAAAAAAAATGTCTCGGTTGCCGTATGTCGTATCGTGCTAAAACCTGTCTGACAAAGTACGCATCTTTTTACAAATACACAAAGGAGAGAATGCGTGCGTGTGAATCAGTCTACTGCTAATGCTCGGGTTGTCCAGCCAAATTGCCAAATTGTGCTGTGAATATTCTCATGTTTTTTGCTTTTGTTGCTCTTGTTTTGTTTTTAAATAAGACACCATAGGTCCTAAGAAGGTTAGTTATAGTGGCAAACCAAAAACGAAAATTATGAGAACCAAGATAGAGCTTAAAAAAGAAATAAATGCAAAGTATATGATAAAGGAGTTTGAGTGTCTGATCGCACTAGAGTATGGCATGATTAATTTATTTCATGTATCTATGGGTTTTAAAGTTTTTATATATGGTTTTAGTATTAGGTGTGTATTTATACATGTTTATCATTTGGGGGTCTGGTATGGATTAATCCAATTTACATAATTTATTATGGGAAAAATTGATTTGGTTTTCGTTGAAATGAGCCTTCTGGAACGGATTAAGTTCGAGAACGGAGGTTCCACTGTATTTACACAGCCAAAGATAAGGGGTTGTTTAAGATGTAAGTAGGAATTACTATGGATTGTTCATCAATGCAAACTACTAATCTACTAATTATTGAATAAAAGGTTTCCACACGTATATGTTGAATTGAACCAGTTTAGCATCATTTTTTACAACTCTAAATGAATACTGTGCTGCCTACAAAACATTTCATAATAAACAAGGCAACTAAGGAAACACAATAATGAGAAAAATATCGTCATTTTCTGGATACTTTTTATCAAATATGCCTAAAGAAGCAGTCACAATTAATTACTTAATAAAGAATGACAAACACTACAAAAGAAATTTGATGACATTCTACTGATATATTCTTGTGAAAGGATGTAACTATTTGACTAGCGTCAAACAAAATCCACGGAGACCCTGGAGCCTATCCCAGGAAAGAGAAGGCATCATGCAGGGCGACCGGGCATCATGCAGGGCGACTGGGCATCATGCAGGGCGACCGGGCACGGCAAGCCAGAACCATTACATTTGTGAATTCAATGCAAAATGGAAGGAAAATGTCCATTCACGGCAGTAGATTAGTAAATAAAAACGCTGTTACAACTAAAATAACTATTCCATCACATATGAGAATACTTTGAACGCAAATTCAAATAAGTTTTACTTGATAACATGGCCCTTGTGGAGCAGACAGGTGGCGCTGTGCAACCCCCCCCCCCCCCGCAGTTTCATTGATGACAGATGGGAGGCGCTGTACCTGGAGAGAAATGATTGCTCTTGCGCCCAGTGCTGGCATCCCTCATCTTCTGGCTGATGTTACAGACCTTCCAGAGGAACGTGCCATCGTAGGAGATCTCCTCTTGTGCAGTGATGCGCTGATGCAGATCGTTCAGGAGTATGTCCTTTATAACCATGCTCCGTTGGTGCTCCGTGATCTGGGAAGAAGGTACGGCGACATGCCACAAACTGAGACCTCTCATACACGATATGGACAGATTGTCCCACTGCTCCAGTTCAATGGGCAACATGCTAATGGAATTTGCCCAGCGGTAACAGTCACAAGAACGCTCAACTAAAGACAAATTTTTAAAACGTTTGAACTATTATCCATCCATATTCTATGCCCGCTTGTCCTGTGCAGGGTCACGAGGGTCTGGAGCCTATCCCAAAAGCTACCGGAACAAGGCAGGGAATAACCCAGGATGGGGGGCTAGCCCATCACAGGGCAAACGCACACACACACAATTTACACTTTTGGATAATTTGGTAACTCCAATTAACCTCAGCATGTTTTTGAACTGTGGGGGGAAACTAGAGAACCTGGAGGAAACCCCACAACGTCACAGGGAGAACATGCAAACTCCACACACATGGCAGGGAATCGAACCCTTGTCCCAGGGGTGTGAGTGCAGGCCACTGCGCCACCATGCTTCACCTCAATCTATATTATTTCTATCAATTTAAGCATAAACATAATAAGCATTATCTCTATCTATTCCATGCTTTTTATACATTTTCTTGACCCTTTCTGAGAATTTCTGAATCTCATGACTGAATACTCATTACCACCAGGATTATCTGAAATTATTGGAAGTCTTAGGGGGAAAAGTGTCATGAAACCAGACTGATGAGAAGTGGGACAAAAGATTATTGAAGAGAGGTCCTCATGTGCAATTCAGCCAACTAGGCGATGGCTGTCTGAAGCTGTTCTGGTACAGATGGACGGTGAATGAAGTCTACATTAAATATTGCCCAAAAGTCCTCTTGCTTGACACAATGGTACATCCATCATTCCTTCCCATTAGTGAACTGCTACATCAACAATTCAACAAGTCATAGGGCAGACTTTTATCTTTGGACTCAAGGCTGATTAATTAGCGATGCCTAGTAAATGAAGCTCTCTTTGAAAAGTTAGTGGATGCCTCAGGTGCATGGATGTCCAGCACGGCCAGAGATCCTTTTGTACAGATGCACATGGTGCACAATTTGCACACACTTGTTAACATGTGACTCCACACTCGCCACCATGGCTTTCCATCAGCCATCTGGACATTTCTGACTGATAACCACAGTCAAGATGAAGATGGGGAAAAAGAAGAATGTCCCTATCAAAAATATTAAGCTTTATTCTAGAAATGACAGGGCCATTCAGGAGATTGTCTACAGTTTCATCGATAGAGTTACATTAGAGATCACCAGTTAAATAGGAGACATACATCACCTGACTTACATTTGCCGTATGATAGATGTCACGTAAGGCAGCTGTTAAATGACAAAGCCTGTGACAAGGGGGATCTATCGAGTCCCATTTTTAAGAACATCATTGTGTAAGACTTGAAAATGCAGAATTGGAATTTGTGTATGTCACTCTTAGATAAAAGTCTGCTTGACATTTCTCAGTTGGCATTTTTCAGTTACCCACAGGGACCAAGAGGCTGTAGGTCACAGTCGATAGAGAAACTTCCCCACCGATAAGGGGGACACTAAGCCTGAGTTTCAGAGATGTCTTAACACATGAGAATCTATCACCGGCCCAATAAATCACTAGTAAAACAATAATGATATGTTGCACATTCCAAGGCCATGCAATTGACATCTTTGGACGAGTAGAACCACACTTTTTCTATCACATGTTTGAGAAGCACAAAAGAAATTGTCCATTTTCTTTATTCTGTGAAAACATTTGGCCCATAGTGTGGCTATTCAACATAATCACACACACGCACACACTGATCTCACAGAGGAAGTGTAGGAGGATCAGCCATAAACCTAATCAATCCACTGTTGAGTATCCCAAAACCTTTTTTTTTTTTTTTCAACAAAGCAAGTTATTTCTGTCGCATATCCAGTTTTCCAATGAAATGTGGTTTCAGAGTCAAAAAACTTCCCCTACACAGCTAGTGATCCTATGCTAAGCCACATCTGCACACTTATTTTCCATTATCTAGTTCTTTTGGCTCTGATGGTGAAAAAATGCTGACATTCTGTTCTTTGGACACAATGTCTATAACATCAAGAAAGAAATTTCCAGAAAAAAATAAGACCCAGCCATCCTGTTTGGATGAGAGATGTGAACTTTTAACTACACAAGGCATGTACCGTCGAATGCATGGCTTCCTCCCCTAGGTCCTGGATAGGCAAGCAGAGTCTAAAACTGCTGATAATCAAAGGATAAACAAAGCCACTATTTAAGAAAGTCATCAAAAAGATTAACTTTAACTGTGATTTTGATCAAAAACTGTTGTTACTCCGAGCAACGGATTCAGAGGAGAAAGTCAGTCACCATGCAGTGATTCATTCTGCATATATTTATATATTTAATTCGGCACAATTTTTTTTGTATATATTTTAAAGTTTCGTTCTTAATTTTAGGGTAACAGAGCCATATCAAACCTAAAATACGTACATTTTAATTGTAGGCTAAGAGAGCCATAACTAACCTAAAAAACATGTAGCGCAGAATGATTTAAAGTCCTTTAAAATATAAACGAACACACAGCACAATAATTTAAAAAATATAATAACATAATATAGAGGGAGACTAATTCTATGATTCGGTAACCGCTGGGGGAAATTCCATCCTTCAAAAAAAGACACAAAAGTGCTGTGTGTTCAGCAGTGGAAGCAATATAGATGTATTAATACCAATATAAAGCTTGGATGATATGTTTTAATAAAGGGGTCCATAGACCTTTTGGTGTCACTAAGCAAATACAACCTGCATTGACCTTCACTGTGACTTCAGACTCTGTGACCTGCTTACCTATCAGAGACTTCAGTGAGGAAGACCTACCTGATTCTCCAGTTCCTGAATGGTTTCTCTACTGGTCTGGTTTTGCTGATCCAGCATAGCAATGCCAAGCTGCGTCTTCTCCACCTCTCGGTTCAGGACTGTGATGATGTTCTCCGATATGTGGACCCTCTCCTGCAATTCCTCCAGTCGCTGGACTAGAAGACCTGTGGCCTGGCCGTCCTGCAGACTCTGGGCCAATGAGGCCTCATTACAGCCTCCATTTCCTCCGTCGGCCTCCACGTCCGTGGTTCCCCACATCTGGAGATTAGCAATGGCCTCCCCCAGGGCTGCTATCTGTCCATAGGGGCCTTGGGATTCCTGGCCTCTTCTCGTGGAGGCCAATACAGATTCTTGCAGGTTACTGATGATCTGAAGCAAGAGTTGGAGGTGGGCCACATGGCTGGATACCTCATGCTCCTTCACCTTCTCAGCGTTCCCCTGCCAAGGCCAATATTATGACAGTCATAATAATATCTACTGTATACTACACCAAAGCAAAATTTGCTATTTGAGCTGCTGTTTTAAAAAATGTGTTGACTGAATGATTATGTCTCTGTGATATTCAGTGAACGGTGCACGTGATTGGGCCTAATCAGTGTGGGAGATAAGCAGACCACCTTGAAAGTGCACCCAACTTCAACGAAAGAACAAGTCTCTTTTTTCCTTGCAGCTGAGGGCTGACGATTCTGCAAATACAATGCCACTAACTTAAAAGCAAGCATAAGCATACAAACTTAATCAGTAATATTTCCTGTTATTTCAAAGTAATAAATTAATGAAATTTATGAATAAATTAATAAATGAAGTAATAAATTAACATAAAATGCAAGGAGAATTTGCAAAAATAAGTAGATCACATTGCAGCAAATACAGCGAATAGAAAAAAAAAAATCAATCGTTATATGTTTAGCAAGGTGAGATGAAGCCCTACCTTCTCTTTTTTATCTGTTTTTGCTGGTTTTTGATCTCTGGCTTGGCTCTGGCATGTGTGTTTCTGCAATGAATACACAAAACTGCATAAACATGGTGTTTGTGGCAATTGAGGGAACAACACATATTCAAGATATGCATCTAAGGGTAATTCTGCTCTATTAAACACCGAACTAGATTTTGCTCTTAGTGACCACCTTATCAGATCAGGCTGAGGCATCTCCACCTTGAAATCGATTGCATTTAGTCGACACTCTGTCTTATTTTGAGGTCTGCTTCTCGCAGGCTGAGGTCTGCATTCCCTACAGCTGGATTCTGAGTCTCGTCATGCTAAGCCCTTCGTCTCCAGAGCCAAAGCTCACCAGCCTTTGCACCTATGCCGAGTCTTCTCTTCCTTTCCCATCTGCAGCCTTGGAGCACCCTCCGCCCCGTGGCTGCTAATGAAATTAAGAATGCAGAGCCATGAGCAGCATCTAACCCTCTTATCAGCCTTCCAGGCCACCCCCCTTAATCAGATCTGCTCGGGGAACACGCAAGCCCAGACGCTCTTCAGTCAGCACTTTCACTGAATCTGCTGATGCAGTATGGATCATATTTTTAACAGGGGCTCCTACCACCATTTTACGAAATTGTGAAATGTTGTAACGCTTCTTAAATATGTTAAAAACTGCTGAGTGTGAGCCTGGTAAATCACGTTTTGAACTCTTTGGTGAACTCTGCTCTTGAGTCTGCCATGGCAGGACCCACCCACTGGAGGAGGCCTAAGGAGCACAAAGACTGCTAGGCCATACAAGTAAGAAAATAATAACTTAAATCCAGCATGTACAAATCCATCTTGCTGCCAAGAGTACTGCCAGTGTTATATCTTCTCATCACTTCTTTAAAGAAAATAACTTTGTCTAAGAATGGATTGGAAAGTTATGTGGTGGACAATTTGGTTTAAATAGTCAGGAGAACTTGCACATGCTCAACAGATTATTAAAACCATAACTTGTTCACACAAATATGAATAGCATGTGTTTATTTAAAGTCGATAAGAATATATCAAAACAGATAAAAACTCCTGCAAGCCTACAGAGAGAAACAAAGAAAATCAAAGCCTGATACACAACACACAACAAAAGATAACCATGAAAACCAGACTTAAATGAAGTCATTTATATTTTATTAATAAATGTTCATAGTTACAATTTTAACTGAAAAATCCAAATTTCATCCATGAGATATTTTTGAAGCCTATGATTTTGTACAGGTACTGTATATATTTTCATGCAAGAAATATTTAAACTGAAAATAAACAACACTATTAAATTAAAAAGTAGCACCTTATTAATTTCATGTTTAAACTTTTAGCGCTAGTTTTGCTAAAGATAAAAACAGTACATGGTAATTAAAGCTGAGCTCAGTGAATCTCAAGAAAAATAATTATATTGGGGTGATCCAAAAAGACATTTCACTTTGGTTCACTTTATTTTTATGGAAAAATACTACAAGTAATAAAGAATGATCATCATTCGGTGAGTCTCTGTTTGCTCTTCACACAAACGATTGAAATTAATTAGATCTGGAATCTCTAAAATTTTTGTCCCTCCCACGCTCATTCAACTGACATTTAGAGGTCCACACTTCACTTTGCCGTCACCCACCCTACGCAAAGAGATCCCCCGGCTGGGTTCCCCTGAACTTTTTGTGTATATTTTTTTTTAAGTAGAATGACTCAACAGAGAAAGAAAAATAGAATAGACAGTTACTATTTGTCACATCAAATCAAAATGCATTCTCACTAAAACCGATTTGCTGCTTTCATTTCCTAAAAGTACGACTACTGATTTCCCCTTGGGTTACATTTGCTCATTCCAAAATCCAGGCAGTCCCTTAAATTTAAAGCCCTTTTATAACATAACCGCAGCGGATCCTGGAAAGTCTGGCCCACATTTGGATCACTGCTTAGGATGTGCCAGTGATGCCACACAATATTTTTCAAGGGATTAGACATATGGCCATAGGTAGAGACAAATGTGATTGAGAAATAGGAGCGGTTGGGCTGTACTTTACGGTTCGTCAATTCAGAGCATTGAATGTTGCGAATTCGATTTAAAGATTGAGTTAGTGATGTACTGTAACCTCTGCTCCAGAATCTCTGACATAAGGCTTTAGCCTGTATCACAAACATCTTATCCTTGTCTGTTGTATTATCATTGGTTGTCCAACAGGGATGTGTCTTTTTAAAGAAGAAGTGCACAATGCTAGTAGCACACTGATGAAGGCATCAAGCCATAATGTGTCTGAGCTGTGATGTTCAATTAATTAAACAATATCAAGCATAATGTGACTTGTTTTCGTTATTCTTCATAGATTCTCCGTTGTGGTCAGTACTATACAGTATGCTGTTATATAATCAGGATTGTAATCCATTTTCCTGCACTTCAGACAGATAGACAGACAGACAGACAGATGCAATGACAATAAAGTCTGTCTATCGAAGTACAACGAAATTTCTTCTGTGCCAAGCCTGAATAAAAGTAATCTACACATGTACACACATACATACCTACACATGTAATAAATACATAAAAACCAACATCTAAAACAATAATGAGAATAAAAGCGTCTCCTATATTTTCAAGAGTATTGAATACTGAGTATTGAAACTCTCGAATATTTCTTATATTCAAGAGTACCGAGTTGGCATGGAAAAGTTAAGGAGGCATCAGATTGCTTTCTGATCCACACCGTGTCTCACCTGAAGCTTTGCAGGACTCATTGCCTGGGAGCAGCTGGAGCAAGTGGACATGTTGTTGGGACAGCCCTTCACCAAGTGACTGGCCAGCTTCCTTCTCTCCACCATCTGACCACAGCCAATGTTGCAAGGGATCAAAGCAAAGTCACACTGACACTGGTGATCCTGGATGTTCAGGAAGATGAAGACAGCAAGTACTTACATTGAAGTTGAATGCACAATATATTTTCTTAACAAATAATGAAATGTATGACATATGAGGTTCCTCTCAAGTTGCACAGGTAATTTTTCACAGCCCATTTAAGGATGGATGTTGCAGAATGTCTTTTCCGGCATTACAATGCTTTTCTTTTCAGAGAATCTGAGCCTCGCTTTCAGTTAAACATTCACTTCCTTCACAACTAAGACATTTCTTCATCTCAATTTTGTAAAACCAGTGTACATTTCACAGTTTAAAAATATTTAAGCTTATATTTATCTCTCTGTTACTGTAAGCTACTAACACAAGCATTAAAATTTAAAGAGATTACATTCAGAATGTACACCTTTCATTGTGTATTCATAATCAGGAAATCTACAGTCATCTACAAGTTCATTCAGGTAAAATGGAAATAACTGTCTGCAACAAATTACTGAGCAGTAATTTAAAAAAATATACCTCATAGTTCTTCAGTATGCCCCTCCAGGTACAGCCTTGGTTGGCACAATGGACCTTCAGCTCAGAAATCTCTTTGTTAATAGCTGCATCGTTGAAGAACTGCATCATTGAAAAAAGGAGAAAACCTTTGTTTGTACTTTTTGTCAGTTACGAGTACTGAAAGTGATTTTGGTAACAATCCAGGAAAATCCCACCAACATTCTGTGTAATACACATGAAAACAAGTTTCATTTATGAGAAGAGCATCAGTGAAACTGAGGTACTATTTAACTATCCTGCTTGTATTAAGAGATTAGAGGTCACACTTCCCATTCAATTACATTAAAAGTACAAAGTGCAAAATAGTGCTAAAGTCCATTACAATATATTGGGTATTGATGCTGAGCGCTCAGGTCCCTTCTGTGAGTTTGTGTGGCCGGTCACTTCAAAACTGAACTTGTTCCCAGACATTTTGTCCTTCACAATCACTTCACTTGTCTTTGATCTGGAAGGCTCAGCAGGGCATAAATGTGGCAAAGATGGCGTCCTATGATGGTGCCAAGTGGAAAGTCACTAATCTCTCCTGTACAACAACCGCCCACTCTACTGATAATATTTGTTGCAGAATATTTTATAACTGGGTGCTTAATACATCTTCTACAGCAGTGGGTGTGGATGAAATAGGAAATTCTTCTGATTAATTGGGGCATCTGCACAATTTTGGCCATATAGTGTGTGTGTGTGTGTGTGTGTGTGTGTGTGTGTGATGATTTTTTCAGATCTGATTGGCCAATTTGGTTGTATAAAACTTTAAAATATATGAAACCACAAGCAAGCTTTTCCCATGAGTGAAAAATATCAGATAATCAATGTGTTGATGCCAAACAATAATCACTGACTGACCTTCACAGTCAAGCCTGCCCACTGATGGAACCTGCACAGGTAGAAGTACCACAGCTTAGCAGGCTTAAGGAGTAAAAGACTGGATTTCACCGGATCACAGAACTGCTCATAACAGAGTCGTTTGAGTGCGGCAACCCCAGCAACAATTGCAGGACTAATCATACCATTAAATATGCCAGCAAGTGGGCGACACTGTGTCTCAGTGGGCGGCACTGCAGGCTCGCACTTCCAGGGCTGGGGGTTCCAGTCTCATTTCCATTCTGTGTGCGTGCAGTTTGCGTCATGTGGGTAACCCCCCCCAAATACTCTGGCTTCCTCCCACAGTACAAACACATGCAGTTAGACTGACTGGCATCTCTAAATTGCCCATGGTGTATGTGAGTGTATGCGTGCCCAATGATGGACTGGCATCCTGTCCAGGGTGCCCCCCAGTCTTGTAGTCTCTGCTGCTTGGGATAGGTTCTATGTTGTTTTCTTTGCAAATATGCACTCAATACCAAGACAAACAGTCTTGGACATTTCCTTTGACTGCCTTAGACTTTTGCACAGGACTGTGTATCTTGTGTCACTCCAAAGATACACGGGAATGAATAACTTCCAGAGGAAGTAAGAAGAACAGCATATCCGGCCAGAAGAGAACCAAACCACGGCACACTGTTACTCCAGCTGCTTCTGCAGTTCCTCATTCAGCCTCATTAACATGGTTAAGTCTCTTCTACTTTCTTGCCAGTTGAGAATTTGCTGCGTAATACTTCTTTAGCCACATCTTGTCCATGTTTCACTTCTTCAGTGACAGTTGATCAGGGCCATTCCCATTTAGACTGCTTAGAATTAAATTCTGCAATATATACTGTACCCTCTTCTCCACCATCCTCAAATGTACATCACTGTACGGACAGGCATCCAGCCCAGTGCTGCCTGTAACTATGTACTGGATGAGAAATGCAAATGGAAAAGTGGGGATGTTTGATTTCCCAGTAAGAATTAATCTGAGGTTCAATGCTAACACAGTAAGCAGAGCCAGGACCTGGACATTATAAAGGGCTGTCATTCTGCTCCAGGGATGCTTAAATCACTCATCACTACTATGTATATAGGCATAGCGTCATGGAACTAACATGCTGTATAATATCTATAAAGGTCACAATTATGAGGTAGAGACCTGGAAATGGTCTCCTATTATAGAAATTGTACCTAAACCTTATGAAGGTTTTATTCATAGGTGTGTAAGGGTGACTGATTACAGTGGAACTGTCTGTGAGCAATGCACATAAAAATGCCGCAGAGACAAGCTTTACTCTATGGTTACCTATGTTATAGGATGGTTACTTTTTTGCACAGTAAATGTTACATTAAAATATAATAAGATATAATATAATAATATATCATATTATTCAGTCAGCTGAATGGATGGATGGAAGGATAAACGTGCATTTTACAGCCCTAAATGTCACACGGAAAATTTGATGACATCAGAAGAAATCGTCATCAGCAACCATCTAGAATGATTCTAGTTAAGTTTCATGATGACGACCCAGAGAAACCCAGGATTAGTTGGCAGTATCAGAATAGGGTGAGTACGCCGGGAGGAGGAAGGGCTTCATAATGAAAGGACCAAAATGCATTTCCTCCCAGCTGTCTTTAACAGGCCGAGGCCGGAATAGTGGTGGTTGCTGCTTCAGCTGGGCCTTTTAACATGATGCACACAGCTGATAATACAGAAGAGCCTGAAGATCACTCTGCAGTAGCAATCATGTCCTGTACAGACCAGAAAACACATAAACCACTGCTGCACATCTAGAACAGCTCTCTCATCATCACTGATAATATCCATTCAGCATCCAGAACACAATCAGGCAAGCAGTGCATAATTAATGCTACTTTAGATTCTTAAACCTTCTAAAACCAAACACCTCCTTATCTCCTCTGGGATGGTGAAGCAACGAGAGGTGGAGATACAAAAACAGTGTGAAAACTATCCTGGTTTTAAGCAAACATCAATCCTAGTTCACCGGTTACAGCAACAACAAAACTGCCTGAAAAAACAACATTATATTTTTTTTCTTTGCAATACAGCTGCTAAACTGGGTCATTTCGCCGACATGAGGGGAACTACTTGTACTCACAGTGTCAGGTGTCAGAATGCTGTTGCCATTTTCTAAGCTTGAATCCTCCTCTTTGCAGCGCTTACATACCAAGTTTTTATTATTCCTGCATACAAAATCATAGGAAACATTGTTATTAATTTATTTACTTACTGATGACTGGGTCCTAATACTACCATACTTAAAATTCATCTTAAAACCGTAATCTCGAGGTTCCCTGATGTTATTCGAGTATGCTGTTACATTGTTTCAACCAGCTGATACATCATACCATTTATAAATGTGATTACGGGCAGATCAGTGTAAGTGATCACGGCACACGTGCTTCCCTGATGGGAGAGTAGATCAGATCCCCATCATGTGGAGAATATAGTCACTTTCCTTACCTTACCAGCCAGGTTACACATGCGTGGCAGTAGCGATGGCCACACTTCGTTTGGCGAGCTTTATTCAACACGTTGTTGCAGTTGCTGCACAGGTACTTGTCTTGAGGGACATCGTCACAGATGTTTTGTGGGAAACCCGATGGGTATTCATTTTCGCCTGGCGCAGATAAAACACCGTCCAAATCCCCCGGAGGTCGTTCAGCCATTGATTTCCTTATAGCTGCTGGCAGCAACAGACGATCTGAATAATAAAACCAAACGTTCTTTAATATAAAACTATATGCAACGTGATTCAGATATGTGATCCTTGATATGTGAACGATCCACCTACGTGATTACGTGTACTGAGGTCATTTTATTATACGAAGGTCATTTTCACTAACAGGTTTTCGGAAAATTACCCAGGACTTTCCCGCAGCAGACGCGGAAATTACGTGCAAAACACTACATGTGCTTGATCGATACCGACAGGCCATATACAAATGGCAAGCCAGTTCATCACTCGTATAACAGTGTCCCAAATCTTGGAGGAAAAAAAAATCAGTTAGTTACTCCACCGCGTTTTGATGGCATACTTTGAAAACCGCCGATAATTTTCAATGGTATAAATAATGTTGAGAGAATTCCGCTACTCGATTAAAAAGTGGCTATAATGAGCTTCAGACTTCCTTTTTACCATGGAAAGTTTAACCACAGCATTTTAACATAATTATAACATAGTTCAATGGATTATACAGGTGTTTATAGAGACATTGTCAAATATAGTTTCATTTTCTCTGACTGCTGATCTCTGGAAAGTCCCATTCATTTCCAGAATGAAGTCATAGTTCACTATGTATGAACAGAAACGCCCATTAACGCCCCTCTGCCCACACTGAAGAGTACCGTTACTGTCATTTGCATTATGGACTGACACCTCCACAGTTATGCTCCCACTTTGCCATACTGCGGACCCTGAGTTTGCATGTCCTTAGGTGCTTGCATGGGTTTCTGTATGGTGCAAGTATGTCCTCTTTGATGGACTGGCATCCCATCCTACTGTAGGTGTCCCCTACCTTGAATAAACTCTTACAGAAAATCAATGAATTTCTCAAATTTAACTGTTTACTTATTCCTTCTGTTTTGAAACTATATATATATATATATATATATATATATATATATATATATATATATATATATATATATATATATATATATATATTATTATTTGTCACACTGGCACCCTATGCATGGTATACCCTACCCAATCTGACCTGCCTGGGTTGGATTGCTGAACAACTGAACATTAGCAATCTTAAATTTGAGTTATCTTTTGAGGATGTACACCCCTTAAGCACAGAAAAAGGACTAGGTAGCATACTTATTTAGTGGGGGCACGGGGGGGCATGCATGTTCACAGGAGACCTACATTAGCATACTGGAGAATGAGCAGACTGCTACACAAGCAGTGCATGGAGAACTGCTTGCAGCGCGTTGCTCTGGGAAGTACCTGCATGAGAGCGAAGTGTCTATGCTACTTGTTTCGCTTCCTGTTTATTGAATCCTTGCCTTTATGTATTCTCTTGACATATTCAATTTTGTGTTCACATACCGTATTGTTCTATAGATGGACACACAGATATAATGGCAGTTTTTACATTTGCTTCTAAAGAAGGCTACATTTATCTTACTTCCTTATCATGAAATGCTGCACATCTTCAAATAGCTGCTACTGATGCCTTATAGATTTGGGAGGAGATTCATTACTCAACAGTTTCTACTCTCATGACTTTTGTTCATCAAAAGCCCTGACCAGCTTCAGTTGTCAGCTTCAGCTACTTATCCAGTAGAGCAGTGTTTCTCAACCCGGTCTTGCAGGGAGCTGGGAGGTGGACTGTCTAGGGGTCCCTGAGGACTGGGCTGAGAAACACTATAGTAGAGGTGTGTGGGGGGGGCACCCAAGGTAGGACAGAGCAGGGGTACACCCTGGACAGGTGACAGTCCACCACAAACAAACACTATGTGCAGTTTGGAGATGTCACATTGCCCAGTTGTAATGTCTTTGGAGTGTGGAAGGAGAAGAGACTCCCTGAGAACACCCGCACAGCATGGGAAAAACATGCAAATTCCACAAACACGGAGCAGGAATGGAAGTCGACTGATGCACCGTTCCACTGGAGAATTGTTGATGTCTTTCAAAAATATTTCCGTATTTAAATTGTGCACATTGCAGGGAATTGCACAAGCACGTAAGAGAAATGCAGCATTGTTTGTGTTTAAAGAGTTAAATCTGAGAGCCATGAAACTAGGGAATGTGTTTGATTTCTGCTTTGGCCTTCTGGGCTTGGGGCAGTGAGCTCTATAAACACTCTAACAAAAATAAATGAAAACGCCAGCCTTGTTTCAACATTCATTTCATTAAAACCATCTATCCTGTGACTTACATTTGCCTAATAAAGGATCAAGGATCATAATAAAACTGATCTTCTTTGGTTGTGCAATGTCATTTTAGTGTTTGATTGGGCAGTCTTTCTTGATTAGGTTTCCAGGAGTTAACTCAGCCTGCTATTTACTTTGTTGATCAAGTTTTTTTTTTTTCAGGGCTACAAATAAAGTCAGTTTTTAGGGACTTATTCCCTTGTGGTTTTAACAAAATAAAGTTACATAGCTGTGAAATCAGATTTTTTTTTTATGTAACAATGTATGCCTGTGTGTAAATGTTAGTTTTCTGGTTTTGTTTATTTTACAATTATACTCCTTCTGGCTGCCCAGATGCTGAATGGTATTATATTAGAACAATAGTTAAAGACTTCAGAAAAATTTGTAAACTTCCTGTCATAAACTTCCTGCTGATCCAGCACAGACTCAAGGTGTAATAAACAGCAAAATTGAATTTTGCAATAGAAGGCAAAAATAATAATAAAAAAACATATTTCCTGCTCATAATTACATAGGTGCTCTAACGTACTGGTTAGGAATTTGATAAATAAGACTACTATTGTTTTTAGAAAATTGCAGATATTGATTGTGCAATATCTGCACAATAAGATATTAACAATGATAAATAGGAAATAATCAGTTGAATGTGTTATCCTATCTTTACCTGTTACGTATTGCAGAGATTCTCTGTAAGATAGGTTGACTTACAGTAGTTATATAATAAATATTTTGGCTGAGAATACCTAACATAGAAGCTTAATTTTTTAATGGTATGCATTCACCCATCCATCTGTTTTACACCTTCTGATCTTGGATGATATGCTAGTCCACCACGGGCTTTTATAAATTTTACATTTCTGAATGAAAAAGTATCAACAAAATGACACAAGCACTTTTAAAATATGTTAATTAGACTTTGGTTAATTGGAAAAGTTACTGCATGTTTCCAGATGCCTCTGGACAAATACATTCTCCATGTTTCTTTAAGCATTATGCCAATGCAGCTGAAATTTAGATATATAGATAGATAGATAACCATTATATATTTTTTTCATTAGTCGCAGTTTCCTGTCATGGGTTGGTGCTTTGTCCTGGGTTATTCCCTGTGTTACGATCTCCAGTTTAGGGTTGAAGATCGACAGAAAGGTAAGGGAGAGGGGAAGACGAGACAACCAGGGAACGGGAAAAGGGAACACGAGACACAAAGGGATCTTTTTTTGTATTTTATTCACAGACAGTAGGTGCAACAGACTTCGGGAGTGACCCAAGCCAAAACAACAAACAAAACAGCTAACGAACACGTCCCAAAACTTATGGAGGACTAGACATGACATAATTATAAATAAATAAATGTGTGAATAAATAAGTAAATACTGAAATAAATAAATACATAAATACAGTTTGGCCATGAAAACTGCTAAATGGATTCCTATATTTGTTTATTAACGTATTTAAATATTTATGAATTTCCACATTTCGTCATTTATTTATTTATGTATTTCCACATTTATTTATTTCTGCATTTCTGTCTCTGTATGTTAATAAGGTGGGCGGCCCCAAAAGCATGATTGGTTAAAAGTCAAGCTTCCTTGCGACTAAATTAGTAATGCCTCGACTTTTAACCAATCATGCTTTTGGGACCGCCCACCTTATTAACATACAGAGACAGAAATGCAGAAATTAATGAATGTAGAAATGTGGAAATACAGTAATAAATAAATGTAGAAATGTGGAAATTCATAAATATTTAAATACGTTAATAAACAAATATAGGAATCCATTTAGCAATTTTCATGGCCAAACTGTATTTATGTATTTATTTATTTCAGTATTTACTTATTTATTCACACATTTATTTATTTATAATTATGTCATGTCTAGTCCTCCATAAAAACTAACCTAAACCTAAGGGTAACAAAAAGGGAAAACGAAACAACAAGGCTAAAGCTATCTTCCTAACCAAACGTACAATAAATCACCACGTCTCGCAAAACAAAAAGGCAGTCACTCCGTATGCACTACAGTACAAACACACAGTAAACACACAATCCAAAGCGACAGTGTCCGAGGGAGCGAGCAAAAGAATGGTCAACAAACAGGCGGGAGATCAAAACCAAAAAAGACACAATCTAAGCCTAGGCGAAGGTACAAAGAAAGGGCGAGGCGAAAATCAGAAACCAATAAACCAAAACTGTCATACACCAAGTCCAAAACCAATAAAGTAAACCACAATAATCAAACAACAATGAACAGAGCTCCTGAGGTATCTTGCAGTCAGCTTTTCAGTTCTGAAGTCGGAAGTGACGAGCTGTGCATCGGGCGAGTCGTGGGCGGGGTCTGGACGGTGAGGCGGAGCAAGGGTCGAATGGCGGACAAGCTGCTGATGACAAGGCCTGTGGGCGGAGCTGAAGATGCAGCGGCACATAACACCCTGCCTTGTGCCCATAGCTTCTGGGATAGTATACGGACCCCGCTAACCCTACATAGAACAAACGGGTATAGACAATAGGTGGATGGATAGTTACAGTTATGATTAAATATGGGAAGGAAGAAAGATCTTTCTGCAGCTGAAAGTGTGAAATAACCCACTCTCTGTCAGCATTGGTGCCTGTATGACCCTGTCCTTTGCATCTTCTCCCATTTTAGCCAGCAGGTGTCACTAGTCATCCAATTCCCCCCTCTCTTGTAGTCCTTCCACCCCTAGTGTATTTCCCTGCTCCCTGGACCACCTCGTAGCTCAATGGGTTGAGCATGGGCCTTCGTTCGAGGCTGCTGGAGGCTGCTCTCACATGTCGTGTAATTTATCATTAGTTATCCTTAGTGTTTGGTATTGTTTATCTGTGTCTTTGCTTTGTCTGCTTGTTTTTTGGTCTACCCTGCCCATGCCAGGTTTAATTCTGTTCTGCTAGTACTTATGTTCCTAGTCTTTCAAAGTGTTAAGTTTGTAAATTTCTTATGTCCTTATGTTCATTGTTTGTTTATATTTCCTAGTTCCTGTGTTTGT